CAACACACACACACACACACACACACACACACACACACACACACACACACACACACACACACACACACACACACACACACACACACACACACACACACACACACACACACACACACACACACACACACACATATATATATATATATATATATATATATATATATATATATATATATATATATATATATATATATATACGCAACACACATTGTAAAAACTCAAGCCACCATGCAGCTCGGAGCCTAAATATGTAAACAAGCCGATAATCTACTTATTCATTACAGGTAATCAGTTTAGAAGGCTGGACGGACATCATGTACTATGTTCAAGACGCGCATTCATTCTGGGATTGGATTTATTTTGTTCTACTCATCGTGGTAAGTTTTTTTTTTCTCTATTTTTGGACTAAGTATAAATTATGTGTAAGATTCTAATCTTAGTCCCTTGAGCGTGAATGGATTTCTGAAATTATATATTGAGGATATTGTGTGATTTAAAAATAGAATGCAACGCCTTTCACCATTTCATATTTTCCTTGTTTTCTTGAACTCTCATTACAATTTCCAAGATTTTGATACCCAGGAATATTGCATTACAGGAGAGCGTAAAGATATTTAGGCTTGTAGTAAACTATTGTGCAGAATCTAATTAAAGGAACTGAAGAGCAATTTCGTGCTGCAGTATATTTTATTTTCTATTTTTAACGTGATTTGAAAAAAACGATGCACCAGTTAAGTAGATTTAAAGTTCAATTTGACACCAAACGCTGTAATTTAGAATGCAATTGAAAAGTGAGAATAGTTCGCAGAGACAGATGAACGCTCACACACATGCAGACTTCCACTCGCATAAAACATTTTCATTTGCAATAGTTGTTAACGGTTTGTTGTGCTTGCTTTTGCTGTTCATCAACGTTTTCATCCATACTTTATGATTTAGTTATCGTTCTATTAAAGATTCAGTGTATCGTTTTGCAGTTTAGAGTTCACATGATTTACTCCATCGATTGATAAAAAAGTAAAAAAATAAATTGAAAATCCAGATCATCGCCTGGAATGCTTCTGACTCCTCCCCCTCCCTCAGATCGGGTCCTTCTTCCTGATCAACCTGTGTCTCGTCGTCATCGCCACGCAGTTCTCGGAGACGAAGAAACGCGAGATGGAGCGCATGAAGATGGAGCGTGCTCGGTTCCACTCGACGAGCACTCTGGCGTCGGGCTCCATGTCGGAACCGAACTCGTGCTACGCCGAGATCATCAAGTACATCGCCCACCTGTACAGACGAGCGAGACGGAAGTTGTACTCCCGCTACAGACAGTTCCGCCGCCGCCACCGATCTGAGCATCCGCGGCAGTTAAGCCTTAAGAAGCAGCGGCGCCGTCGGCAGTATGTGCTTGCCCAACACGCGCTTTTGACGCGCGAGCCGGGAGGCCACCTGACGCCGAGCACCGTGGTCACCATGCCCACGGGCGTCGCCGGGGGAGTAGGTCCTGGCGGGGGCTTCACTGTAATGAATAACGTCACCGCAACAAGTCCTCAGCTTTTATCGCCCCCAGAGGTTAACGAGGGCCAGGAGGACAGTAGAAACAATAGCGCCCCTCGCGCTAGCCCGGAGGTGTCTGAAGTCGACCCTCAGACGTCCCCTCACCGCCCGGTCCTCCTCATGATCCCCAGTGGTGCTAGTGGTGAAGGGAACAATGAGCTGGTGCCCCCATCGCCCGCGGGAGCCTGCACTCCCCGGCATAGAAGACGAAGCTCTGTGATGTTTAGTGACGTGGTGCTCCTCCACGGCCACGCGGGCGAGACCGCTACCAAGAATGTCTGTCACAGTGAGAAGACGACACAGACCGACGACGAGCCGCTGGACCCAGCCTACTTCCGTGAGCCTCTGCCCCCTTCCCCACACACGCCGGGCCCCCCCGTTTCACTATTGCCTTCGGTTCTGCTTCCTCCGACGCTCGCACCCTCTGCCAAGACCAAGTCTTCCCTGCGGCCCGTGTCGCGCACACCTTCGTATAATGGCTCAGGTGGTAAGGGCTCACTCACATGTGGCGAACTATTAGCACTAAGTGGCGCGCTCTCGGCGGCACTGCCCACGCACTTGGGCATCGATTCCCGCTCTGTGCACACATTGTATTCTTCTCTTGCCAAAGGTGTCAAACATTTCTCTGCTCCTACGTTATTTTTCTCAGCAGACCAAGCGCCTGCAGGACTCTCAGGCTATTACTCGGCCTCAGACTCCTGTCACTCCGACTCCGACTGGAGTGACGAGGAATGGAGTGAAGAGGAGCGGAGTGGCCCGCCCTCGCCATTGCGCAGGTTCTTCTCCAAGTTGCGAGTGTACATCAAGAAGCTGGTGGAACACACTTACTTCCAGCGAGGGATCCTGGTGGCCATTCTCATCAACACTCTCAGCATGGGCGTCGAGTACCACAACCAGGTGAGGGAACGCGCTTTTCTTTCCTTGTGTCCCAGATGGCAATAGAATGACTCATGTGGCAGTAAGCCTTGTCAAGTTCGGTTCAAAGTGAATGATAAATTCAGCATTCATGATTTCGATCTGAAATACCTAAGTATTCAACGAAAGTCCAAAGAAAGACAAATTATTGTTTAAAGCAAAGCTACAATCTGACAGACTTTACTCTATCACAGCCCGAGATACTGACAACCATCGTGGAGACGAGCAACATCATTTTTTCAGCAGTTTTCGCTCTGGAAATGCTGCTGAAAGTTATTGCTGAAGGGCCTTTTGGTTACATCAGTAATGGATTCAACGTCTTTGATGGTGTTATTGTGATTCTAAGGTAACCATGTTGACTAGAATAGAAAGTCGTAGATTTGATGCTTAAGATCAAAGTCATGGGAGAGCTTCAGAGCTCAATAGAAGAAAGGCCTGCACTAGGATGCATTTTTATCCAAACCGATTTTCTTTAAAATGTAGTTTGATTTTTGTAAGATATGCTTGTTACTAATCCCAACCCCTTTCAAACTCAGTCAGTATAAAATAGCCGTTGTTCGTAATTGCCTGTGTTTGATGTCAAACAGTCAGACCAACGATAAAATGTGTATTTCGTTTCAGATCTTCAGCTTCCAATATGGATTTTGCAATGCATATTATTTCCAAATGTAAATAATGTTCATCTCTCGGAAAGATCTGTTACCTGATGATTTTCAGATATATTAGTGCTTCTGTGTTAATCGTCAAATCATCATCATCATGACTGACCCACATAATCATATTACATCAGTCATCTCCGCCATCACCATTCTTATCCTTTTCATTCCTTATCTTATTCTTATCCTTATCATCAGAATCTTCATCCTCATTCTCATCATGAGCATTTTCATCCTCATGATCAGTTATCTTTATCGTCGTCATTAACCTCAACCTCATCACAGTCACCAAGTCACCTTTATCATCATCCACCTCCTCCTCAGTCATCATCCTCGCCAACCCTGTCACAATCACTTCCCCCCCCCCTAACCCCGCCCTCAGTCTTTCTCCTCACCTGACGACGAGTTCCCACGCAGCGTCGTTGAGATGTACGAGAGCTACACGACTTCGCACGCGGAGCAGCAGGCTGGCCAAGGATCGGGGCTGTCTGTGCTGAGGACCTTCCGCCTGCTGCGCATCCTGAAGCTGGTTCGGTTCATGCCCCAGCTCCGGCGCCAGCTGTTTGTTATGCTGCGGACCATGGACAATGTGGCTGTGTTCTTCTCTCTTCTCATTCTGTTCATTTTCATTTTTAGGTGGGTATTTTGCCTTTGCTATGTGGGTGGCCTTGTCATTCGCTCCCTCTTTTTTGACAGAGGTTTAATATTACGTTGAGATTAAAGAAATAAGGTCGGGGGTATTTTAGCTTTATCGGACAGTGAGCCGTGTTTCATTTTCATTAGGAAGCTCATTCATTAAGATGATCCATACGCTGACATATACAAACATGAGTATATGCCTTCAGCCACACTGAACACATACACTCACACTCACACTCACACACCCCTCTCACTTACATTAACAAATTTACTCACTCATTCACTCACTGAACACAAACACGCTAATACTCACACGCATACTCACATATGTATATATGAACACACACACACACACACACACACACACACACACACACACACACACACACACACACACACACACACACACACACACACACACACACACACACACACACACACACACACACACACACACCTCACGTTAATAACTTCAAACTCATTCAGATGCATAATTTATTCAAGGTAGAGCTAGGTCGGTGTCTCAGCTTTGTTTTAACGGAAAAATGTGATTGGTCTAATTTTTGTATTAATCTGAACACGAAGTTGGATTTTTCTCTTGCAGAATAAAGTCCGTGAATTTTATTTCTTCTTGATGAATAAAAAGAAAATAATTAACATTTCAATTATCTTGATGTACAGATGATCTAAAAGGTTTGTCTCCTAAGTCCATAGATTAAATTTTTGTATGATACTTTTCCTTAGCATTTCTTTAGTATTTTTTAGTTTTTTGTATGTTTTACCTCTTTGAGAACTAGTTCCTCGAATATTTTTCCTATATTTCTATTGTAGATTTTCTGTTTCAATTTTTAACAAAATTCTTGAAAAGGAATACCTTTTTTCCCCTATCCCATTTCGTCTTCACCCTCTTTCCTGTTTTATGCAAGTTGGTAGTTATCTTCAAGCGCTCTCTAAAACGTCCTTCTGCTATTCATAACACTGCGTTCGCCAAAGCATTAAAAAAACGTACGAGACATGAGCCTCCGACGACCCCCTCGCCCTGCCACAACCCAGCTGAGCGTTCACCTTCCCCCGGCTTGATGAGAACCCTGCCTTTCCTCTCTGATCCCAGTGCCTTCTCGTCTAACAAACCGTAGAGTGCGCTGGACCGAGACTGGAGGACGTCGGAGGGCTCGTGTCTGTACAGTCTATATCCACACTTAGATCATAGACTGCGCTGCTTAGTGGCCATGACATCACTCGAGAGATAAGTTTCCTTTGTCTCTCTCTCTCTCTCTCTCTCACTGGGATGGTAGTTTTCTCTTAATAGTACTACTGATAGTACTCACCGGCTAACATCTTTTTATACATAAGTCTTCTTGTCCTCTTTTCTCTGCCTAAGCAATTACTTTGCTATGAGACCCTTCGAAGCCCGGTCTGAAAAAGCTTCACTCCATTCTCTCGAGCTCAGTTCAGTGTGACCTTTGCTTCGTGAAAAAAATGGAATTCAACCTAATTGAACGTTAGATCTCAGTATGGTAAATGCAGATTGAAATGGCCCTGATGACACGATGGATATTGCGTTTGAAGTAAAGCATACCTTTAATCGCGATTATTTTGATGAAATAGCGACCTACAGAACGTTAGAGAATGCGACGAATACTATACACACCTGATGTGTATTCGTATTTTTTTCTTTTAATTCAAGTATCGTGCGATCAAAGTGGTTTTCTTGTTGGACATATATAAACAGCACTTGTGTGTTGTATGTATGTATATAAACAGACATATAAATGTATATATTATATATATATATGTATATATATATATATATATATATATATATATATATATATATATATATGCATATATATATATATATATATATATATATATATATATATATATATATATATATATATATATATATATATATATATATATATATATTATATATATATATATATATATATATATATATATATATATATATGTATAATATATATATATATATATATCTATATATATATATATATATATATATATATATATATATATATATATATACCCTCACATACTCACATACTCACACACTCACATACTCACACACTCACACACACACACACACACACACGCGCGCGCGCGCGCGCGCGCGCATATACAACATATGCCAACCAATCATACAGAAAATCAACAAAAAAAAGTTGTTTCGCGTTGACTGAGGAAGTTCAGGTAATGGTGCCTTTGTATTTCGCTTCACCAGAGATGATCACTCCAGGGAAGCGGCTAGAGTTTGGAATATGTATCATATATCTGTCCCTATATATATATATATATATATATATATATATATATATATATATATATATATATATATATATATATATATATATATATATATATATATATATATATATATATATATATATATACCTTTATACTTGTATGTATGTATATATCTGTATAAATATATGTGTGTATGTGTGCTTGCTTTTATGGATCTGTTCAGTCTCCGTGTGTGGTATCATCTTAGTATATCCCTGTTAATAAGAATTTCAGCGCGAATTAGGATACCCTCCATTTTGCTTAGATCAGCTTTCATGCAAAAGGTCGTGATTGATTGCCCCTTTGGACATATGCAGTAGTCGGTGGTTACTTGTATGCAGCCCATGCAATGATTCATGGCGTAACAGATCAATATTGCAATATTGTTGTCCAGATGGCAATATAATTGTCATTCTCTGATAGTGTAACGTTAAACAGTAGCACGGAATACAATAGATTGTGTAATTATCATTTAGCCATGGGTGTTACCGCTGCCTACTACACTAGGCTTATCGCAACTGCAACTGTTTCGCGTTCACTAACTGGGTTTCCCATGGTTGGTATCATCGACTCCTGAGGTCGCGGGGGTCACTCATCCCTCCATCAGCGTGGTGTGCTCTTCGCCACCTCCAACCAAGTTTTCTTGGTCATATCAGCCAGTAGTCCAAAGGCGGTAGGGCAATCCTTCTCAGGTGCAGTTCTGTTTACCAGACGCTATTGGACCAGGTAGTGCCGGGGCGCTTCCTGGTCAAAGTAAACTACGCCATTCTATGGGGTCAGTATTGGGAGCCTGCTGTCGACGAAGCCTAGAGCTTACTTCTCGCCAATATACCCGTTTGCTGTTTTCTCTTTGGGCAATCCTTTGTCTTCCTGCAGTGAGGCTTTTGTCTGCACTTGCCTTCTGGTCAACGCCACGCTTCACCCTCGTCTGGAAAGAGATCGCAGCCTGCCTTCTCAGCCAGAGGACACCTTGCCATTAACCGCCATTTTATTAAGGAACATCGAACCTTGGGTGTTTGAGCGAGACGTTCTCTCCTCCTCGCCTGAGTTAGACTACAAAGCATGAGACAGGTTGTTTATACCATTACATAGAGGTTTATATCAGGTGCGTTATGACAGGACTTAGGCTGAAGTGAATTTTCATGGGCATACGCATCTGCATTTCAGCGTATTGTCAATGGAATAGACGCCGTGCTCCAAATTATGGGAATGCAGTGGATTAGAAAATTGGAAACTCCCCTTACCTAAACATGCCACGTGCATTTAAGGCACACAAAGAAAGTAGCGATGCTATTACAGCCCATAGTAGAAAAAAAAATCGTTACACCCCACAAAAAAAGAGACATTTTCTTCTTGTTGACATATTTTCTGATCCCCTGCATGTGTGTGTGTGCGTGTGCGTGCGTGCGCGTGTGTGTGCACATGTGCGTGTGACATCAGGTGT